TCTCTGCTTTTCAGAGGGGACTTGTGTCAAGGCATTCATTAAAAGGTACCAGTCAGGAGTAACTACGCAAAGAATATCTGCAGGATTCTCTGCAGTAACGTTTTATATTGCTTTGTCACCTTCCCCGAAGGGTTTGAAACTAGAAGCATTCACCTATGGCAACAGCCCTCCAGCTACTATCTTCATTGAAAATTGCCTGCTAAGCCCCAGTGCCCTTGTTCCTGCTGCTTCATTTTTAAGAGGAAAGAAATGTTTAATGTACGCAATTACATCTGAACTGGAATGCCAAAAGGAGATTAACTAGCTTGTGATTTTCACGTTTGTTAGGAAGGGGTCTGAGATGAATTAGATGTATTGCAGGTCTGGTTCATACGTGTTCCTGCTGTTACTATGACAGAAGAGTAGAGATTACCACAAATGTTAGCACAGATAGGCTTATAAGTAAAAAAGAACTTTAAACCACAAATTACATACTTAGGCACACTTAGAAGAGAGCTGTCAAAACTGATTTGTTAAAACTGAAAGACTAGGAAATGCAATCCCCAAAAAGGAATTCATCAATAAAACAGAAATTCTGCCGTTGAGCTTTTACAGAAGGTAATTGCAGAATCAGACATTTAACATTTGTATCAGGACAATCATGTGTAGCTGCAAATAAAATAACACAGTTCATGATCATTTGGGAGCATCATGTGAAGACCACAAGAGGAATATTTTGCCAATAATTTGCTTTTCTATTCTTACCTGAGAGGAATGCAGTATATGCAGCTTACCTTCTGCAAGCATTCATAGTGTCTGAGTGATTGAATTCCCACTGCGTCAGATTTCTTCTTGCAGAGAGGAAAAAAGTCTTTTGTATCCTCTTGTTTCCTTGCACAAAATGAGAAAATTTTCTCAGCACCAACAAAAAGAATCTTCCAAGCCCACCGACTTGACCAACAACAATTTTGGAACACTTATGTATCAGTGAAAGCTCTCAAATTAATGATTTCTAAAGCTGATTTTGACACAGTTCTTCAAGAAATTCCCTTGAGCAGTTCACAAGGCAAGTTATAAGTAATCCCAATGACTGGCTTCTTTTAGCTGCTGGGATCTCTTGTTATAAACAGCTTGCTGCTGAAGTGTTGCCAAATTCATAACACCAGTAATGCACAGATGGAGGGTGGTGGTGAAAAACGCAGGATGAGCTATAACTTAGAATGACTTTCTATTAGATCATAGGCTATTTTGGGGTAAAATTTAGTTCCTTTCTACAAATGCAATTTGGTTTAAATTCCCTGGAGTGAAATTTCAAACCACCATCACTTATATGTGCTCTAATACTCAAATATTGTTTTATGAAAAAAGCACATCCCTTATTTAAAAAATGTTGACTTTTATAATATGATCACATTCAATAAGCAGTCAATAAGCAATATATCACCACAAAAAATAACATTTTGACATCCAGGGTTAGTAACAAAGTAACATTCATCCTATTATTCCCGGACCAACTGGAGCCATTGATTACCAAGAGGCTGACCAGAACTTCTGCCAAGCTGGGTGTTGCATGATCAGCTGGGTTAATGATGGGTTTAGTATAACCAATTCAATGTCCCTCTGATGATTTCTGGGGCTTGTAAATGAACACATTTAAATTTGCAATTTATAAAGACAGACCAAAACACTTCTTTCCCAAAACACTTTATTGCATCATCTTTAAAATAACTGTATTTCTCATTTAACTGTTACTTTCAGCTTATTGCCAAATATAATTGCTATTAAGACAAATTTGAACTTGTAGTCCTGGTGCCTTTCTAAAGGCCTTTGCCTTTCCTTCAGATATGTCCTGGTTACTGCATTTATGTTTTTATATAAATTAAACTGCTTCCTTTAGTTTTATTAAAACAACTAGTGATTTCCAGTGATATGTCCTCATAAAATCACACTCCAGAAAATTAAGACTAAGTTTGTTGACCCATGTGACTAAAACTGTGTCGCTGGAACCAGTGAAGCTACTGAGGACAAAGACTCATTCTTCATTATTAGTAATACATTAAATATAGAAAACCAGAAATATTACAATGACTTGGAAGAAATTCAGGTATCAGTAAAGAATCACTGACTTGAATCAGTTCTAGCTTTTTCAGACCTCATCCTGAGAATATAGGAGGTTACAACTCCTGGATTCAGTTTTCTTAAATAACGTACACAGGGATGGATGCAACAATAAAAGCCGTATACTGCTCCAGGGATGCTGCAAGAACAAAAGGCCTGCCAAGGGGGGCATGGCACTGCCCCAGGATTGTTCCATCCAAACCTTTCTGCTCAGCACTACACAAGTGCTTGGCAACAAAGCCTCAGCAACAAGCTGCTTTTCCTGCTCTGCTTAGGGTTGAGAAAACCACAAAGCCCAGAGCTCCAGGGACTGAAGGCAGCATGCCAAAGGGAGCACAGTGCTGCCCCAGCATTGCTCCCTCCACACGTTTCTCACACAAATGCAGCTTTTCCTGCTCCACCCTAGGGTTAGGGTTGAAAAAACCACAAAGCCCAAAGCTCCAGGGACACTGCAAGTGCAGAAGGCATGCAAAGGGAAGCACTGCCCCAACATTGCTCCCTCCACAGATTTCTGCATGCCACTACCCATATGCTTGGCACCTCAGCCTCAACGACAGCCTGCTTTTACTGTTCCACTTGGGGTTAGGCTTAGGCTTAGGTTTGAGAAAAGCACAAAGCCTAAACTTCAGGGACATTGCAGCTACAAAAGGCGTACAAATGGGAGCAATTCATCTCATCTCATCTCCCTGCATTTGATGACAATTTTGCTTTATTTCACAATTTTAACCATTGAATTTGTCATTATAACCCTGCCCCAGTCTGTTTCACTTTTTTCTCTGACTTTGAGATTTCGTTTACTTTCATGAAAATAAATTCTTCATTTCGTGAAAGGAAATGAAATCTTGTGATTTCAAACAGTATCAACTCAGCTAGGTTTGGTCCATTCCCTGCACTTCATGTCATCCCATTCCATTTTCATTTATTCACTTTGGTTCAGAAATTTCAACAATGAAATCTTGAAAGCAGAGAAGAAAGTGTAACAAACACGCTGGAAGGGAGATATGATATAATAAAATGTAATTGAAAAAAAAAGAAAATTTGGGAATGCAGTGACTCCAAATTGATTGGGATGGAATGAGGTGCAGTGAAAAGGACCAAAAGTTACCAAAATTACATTTACTGAAGTCCCAAAGTCAGGGAATGAAGTCAAACAAAAAGACAGGAGAAGGAACTGATGAAATTAAATACTTGAAGAAAAAAAAAAATGCAACAAAGGGAAAACAATCAAATGGCATGGGATGATATGAAGTGCAGGGAAATGGACCACACCTTGCCGAATTGATCCTCATTGAAATGGCAAGATTTCATTTCCTTTCATGAATGAAGAATTTCACAATGAAGAATTTCCTTTTGTAAAAGGAAATGAAATATTGAAAACAGAGACATTATAATTCCTATATATTCTATAATATATAGGAATTATAATGACATGAATTTGAATGGAAAGAAATAAAAGAATTAAATAAATTGAAATCATTACATCCCTAAGAGTAATTCAAGGAGCAATGAGGAAGACATCAAAGAGAATGGATAGAAAATTATGATACAAAAAGCCGGAAGACAGAAACTGTAACAATAAGGATTGGCCTATTTTACAAGAAACTAAGTTGGACAGTTCCCCACACAACTGACGCCTGCCAGCCAGGAGGGACTCCTCGTGTCATTTCAAGGGAGATAGAAGTGTGAGGTGAGCGTGTTAATATTCAGCAGAAGCCTATTTGCCCCAGCCATTTACTGTGTGTATTTGCCAATACACAGGATACTTGCTATATACTTAAGTTACATACATACTGCTTGTGGGGCTCCATGAAAGGTAAAAAATTACAAATGGTCGACTGGAGAAAGGATTAGAGAGTATCTTATCTATATGAAAATCTGCAGGTTATGATTAACTATTCTCATTCCGCTGATAAATTCCAGCTGATTGATTTAGTCATCCCAAAATACTTAGAATACATCACTGGAACGCATTTTCTCATGCCACGCACGCGTTAAGAGAAAATCCTAAGCACTGCACAGCATTAAATGTTAGAAGAAACGTGAAGAGTGGCATTTTCCTAGTGTTTTTTACGAACACAGTTCTACTTTTAAAACTATTCTAACAGGCTGCTTTAATGGGACTAATAATAATAGTCTGTAGTTGGAACCGACACTCACAGATCTTACTATTCCGTATGCCACCTTAGGATTAGATATATATCCCCTTCACAAAATCACAGCGTCTATTAGGCTGAAAAGGACCTTTGTGTCCAGCCTTTGACTGAACACCACCTTGACAACTAGACTAGACCGAGGCACTGAGCGCCACATGCAGTCTTTCCTTGAACACCTCCAGGACGATGACTCCACCACCTCCCTGGGCAGCCCATTCCAATGTCTAATCATGCTTTCTGTGATTAAATTCCTCTTATGTCCAAGCTGAACCTCCTTGTAGCTTCACATTTAAAGCTAAGCTACTACGACAACGATATCTAGCAGATATGTCAAGGAAACCGAAGGAATCGGCGCGCAGGCCCCACCGCAGCCAGCACGGCGTCTGTGCCTGGACTCATGGGCCACGTCGGCACAGCCTCAAGGTGAGTCCTGCTACAACGGCCACACCCTGCGGAGGCTTTCCCTTGCGCTACTGCCACCACCGCGGCTGCCAAGGCCGGCCAGGCAAGCCGGACTACGTAAGGACGATCGGCGGGAGCGACGCACCCCGACCACAGCCCGAGGGCGAGTGCAAGTACGGGGCGGAACGGGCCAGTACGGCCTGCGCAACCCAGCAGCCGTTGGGGCCCTGCTAACTACAAGTCCCAGAATGCACCGGAAGCACTCGTGTATCCTTCGAACCTGCCAATGAGGGCGCGCCGGGTGCGCCACGTGAATGGGGCGCGCTTTTCGAGTCCGGGCGGGTGCGCGGCGTGGCTCGTGCGCGGTGGCGGTGAGGGGCGAGCGGTGAGCGCGGGGGGACGGGGGCGGCGGGCCCGGCTCGGGCCCTTCCCCAGAGCTCCAGCTTGTGCCCGCAGGCCTTTCCCCGTTTCCCCTTACGGCCGGGGAAGGTGGGGGAACCTGTGCGAGCTCGCCTGAGGTGGGGTGCTGGGCGGTCGGCGGGATAGTGAGCTGGGTGGCATCCTATAAACCACTTTTTCGGTGGTGCCCAGCGACAGAACGAGTAGTAATACTAAGTTAAACTAAACCACTAGAAGTTAAGTTTCAGCGTGAGTAGGAACTTTACATCGAGGGTTGCAGAACACCGGAATAGGCTGCCCAGGGAGGTCATGAAGTCTCCCTGTCTGGAGATATTTCTAACCCACCTGTAGGCATTCCTGTGTAACCTGCTCCAGGTGACCCTGCCTTTATACGGGGTTGGACTGGATGGTCTCCAGACGTCCCTTCCAACCCTAACTGTTCTGTGATTCTGTGTGGCAGTCTCTAAATGTGAGAGTCTTCAAATGGAATGTTTACCTCCTCACTAATTCAGCAGTATCATCAAAGTCTGTGACCCTGTTGCTGTTCGGTTTTGGGGTTTTTTTTTAAACCTCTTGCATGTCTACTTCTATATATTCCAGATACTATGGAGGAAAAAAATGAAATGTCAGCAGATAGCCTGAGTCATTTGACTGAAGAAAAACTGGATATTTGCATGAGCAATGGTAGGTGGAGAACATACTGAGTTATTCTCTATGTGGTATATCCCGTTATGGGTTAGGACAGCTTAGATCAGTGGACATCCTCTGTCTGCCTTATGTCATGTTCTGTTTACTCACTTCCTTGGATGGGCTGTTGTTGCCAGTCTCAGAAGCCTCCTGAGGAGCTTGTGGAGTGGTGCTAAATCTTGTGTAATAGTGACTGATGTCATCAACCTCTCTTCTATATATCTAATCTGAGCTCCTCCCTTATCCATCAGCTGATTTATTTAATGCGTATATTAAGTAACATGGAAAGTAATCTTTCTCACTGGCTCCTGCTACTGTTCTGTGGTAGCCTGAACAAGAAAAGAACTGATGAATGGGATGAACATGTTGTCACATAGCTCTAGATTACATGTTCTCACTTATTTTGATTGGAGGCTGCTGATGAGCTGCATTCCATGTTGCTGTTACAGCTTCTTAAAAATTACCATTAAGCTGTTTTACAATATTTGGGATCTCACAATTATGATCATATTCATAATTGTACCTTAAATTTCTTGGACCTTCTTTTCCTGAGTTTAATATTTTGAACTTGATAGCTAAAGCTTTCTTTGCCAGCTGACATCACTCACCAGATTGTCAAAGCATAATGCAATCATTTTCATTGCAAATCCATGCTGTGACAAAATGCTTTTTATGGTTTCAGACTTTCCTCTTCTGACTGATGAAAAGTTTGATTTTGACCTTTCACTCTCTTCAACAAGGTAAGTTATGTAAATACTGTAGACCCTTCAAAATGGACATATGTAAGGTGCTGGGTTAAATTATTTTTCTTTGTAGTGGAAATGAAGATGAAGTTTTTGTTGGACCTATGGGACACAAAGAAAGATGTATTGCTGCCAGTATTGAAGCAAAAAAGTGTGTGTCTGCTTGTGATGATAAACTCATGTGGAGCCCACTTCAAGGAGAGAAATTCGTGGAAATTTTCAAAGAAGCTCATTTGTTGGCACTGCAAATAGAGACTGGAATCAAGAACAAGGAGACCAAAATAAGCCAATCAGAAGAACAGGAAAACAAGATTGTAGAAAGATTTGTAGAGGACTCAAACTCAAAGCTGAAGATACTGAGGAACAAAAATATAGAAATTAGTCCCAGGGCTGTTAAACGGGAGACATTCTGTGTGCAGGATAGTCCAGCATGTCAGCTGCCCCCTTGTTTTCAGAAGGCATCACAGACACTTGTATCAGATGGCAACGTACATGCTCTTCCTGCTTCTCCTAAAAGAAGCCTTGTTCAAATTTGTGTGTCTCCTATGGAAAATACCAGTTTGCCCCTGACAGAGGAACAGAAAACTAAGGAAACAAGTACAAAGGCTGTAGGCAAACTGCCAGTGGCAAAACCGTCATCTGCTTTTGGAAAAATCAATTTGTTGACAATTGACAAGGTAAAGTCAAGTTCTGGGCAACATTTTCTTCAAGTAAAGTCTGTGTTTTAGGAGTATTTAATCTGTCTGCAATCTTTTATTTTTAAAAGCTAACTTCAATCTTCTGATACTTCTCTACCTCATATGATCCTTAGTCAGAAAACATACAGAAAAAAAAAAATGAGGGCAGGTACTATGGTATAGTAACCAATTACTTTGTCTATTATGACAATGTAGAGCATTTGCAAATACATTTCTTTTCCATTGTATTTTGGTTTTGTGAATACTGTCATTCTTGGCTTCTACCTGGTTTCTGACACGGCTGTGTTGCTGGTAAAATTACTGTACTGTTACACTTAATGTGTAAAAGTTGTTTTATTTACTATTAATCCTTGTCAATTGAAATGTATTCCGGGATAGCAAGGAAACAGTTGTGTTAGTGACCTTGAGCACAAATCCCAGTCTTTAGATACGGTATCTTTTGGATTTTATTGGTCTACACTTTATAGCTTAGGCTCTAGTATGTATTAGAGGTTTTACTGAAGATGTGGTAGGGGCTTCTTAAGAACCATCATCTATAGGAATTACAGGACTCTGATTTTCCTTTGTAGTATAAATTTCTTGATTTTGTGTGCTATAAAAAAAGACATTATCTTAAATGCTTTAACTAGAGAAGTTATACCCCACTGTCTGAACACTTTGCATAATGCTGTCTACTATTGTAATGTTTCACCTTTTGGAAGCCAAATCAAAGTAGAATAATAAATGGAGAGTCCAATATAGTTGGAACATACAGCTGTTACAGTATGGAATACTACGTAGGTGAATATGATTATATGATTTGTACTGATGAATTGTTGCAGAACTGGCCTTAAGTTGCTGTGCAGTATCTGGGTTCAGGCATCTCCTAGTACTTGGCAAATGCACTCACTAGGCTTACTTCAAACTCTATTTGTCTGAAGACTTCACTGGATTTGGAGGCTTCTTCATTGACTGTTGTCTCTGTTTCTGGACAGAATCAATGTGTGTAAAAAGCTTTATAGTGATTTCTAGAAGCAGTAGTAGCTTTTAAAATGTTGCATTGAAATTTGCAGCTCAAACGAGGAAAAAATACTAGTATTTCTACAAAAGGAGACTTGAACAGCATGGGATCATCTGAAGAAGTAATTTCTGATAAATCTAATATTGCTTTAGATGCCGTTCCATCTTCTTTCAGTAGCAGTTCCTCAGTGCAAGACACAAAAGTCCTTCCTGCACCAAGTAAGGTAATGGCAAGCCTCCTTAGTATGGAAAGAACTTCTGTAGTACTTCTGATGAAAATAATAATAGTGAATAATAGTTTACTTTCTAATTTGATTTAAAGCTGTTGCATAAAATGATTTTAAGGAAAATAATCAATGTTTTATATTTACCATTCTTGAATGTGTGCTCTTAAGTCCGTAACACATTAACATACTTAAGAGCAACTACAAATATGTTGGATTAACAAGGATGCCTTTGTTTTTAAAGCACTAGCTGCAGGTAAGTGATGAGCAGTTTCCTGTAAGAAAGTTTTTGATGTGTAGTTAACTATACCATATGAAAATGTTGCCGTAACTTGCATGAAGGTAGTATACCTACAGCTGTCAGTTGCTTTGAAGCTTTAAATGCATATTTTAATGCTGGGTGTCACTTCACTGAATCATGGAATTGTTGAGGTTGGAAGGAACCCCTTGAGGTCACCTGGTCCAATGCCCTGCTCAAGCAGGACCACATGGAGTCATTTGCCCAGGCCCATGGCCAGACAGCATTTGAGTACCTCCAAGGATGAAGACTTGGCAACCTCATAGGGCAGCCGGTACCAGTGATCAGTCACCTCTGAAGTAAGAAAAGTGTTCCCTGATGTTCAGAAGTAGAACCTCCTGTGTTTTACTCTGCCCATTAAATCTAGTCCTGTCACTGGGCACCACTGGCTGCTGTCCTTTCAGATATTTCTTTGTATTGATGAGATCCACCTTGAGCCTTATCTTCTCTAGGCTGAGAAGTCCCAGCTTTCAGCCTTTCCTTAGGTGGGAGATGCTCCAGTCCCTTAATCATTTTAGGGGTCCTTTGCTGGACTCTTTCCAGTAGCTCCAAATCACTCTCATACTTGGGAACCTGGAACTGTATGGAGATCTTTGGATGTGGGCTCTCAGGGCTGAGCAGACAGCAGGATCACCTCCACTCGCTGCCAGTGGTCTTCCTTGTGCAGCCCAGGATACTATCAGCATTCTTTACTGCAAGGGTGTGTTGCAGACTCATGTTCAGCTTGTCCACCAGCACTCCAAGGGCCTGGCCTGCAAAGCTGCTTTCCACCTGGTTGGTGCCCAGCATATACTGGTGCCTGGGCTGGCTTTTTTTATTTTTAATTCCTTTAAGTCCATACTCAGATTTGTGGCTGGAATAAAAATAACTGTTTGCCTCCTAGATCTGATGTTCCAGTTCTGTATAACAATCCAGATACAATGATCTGTCTCTAAGAAAATTCACTTTTTAAAATGTGATCTTGCATTTAATGAGTTAAGAAGCTCCTCTAAAATTACAAGTAATAAGTTACAATACCAAGACAAATAATGGCAATATAATGTGTTAAATTGGGCATTTTTTTTTGCTTTTGATTCAGCCTGGCTTAAATAAGATGATATATCTGAAACGTCCTGGTGTTGCCAGTGGTCTCCCAAGAAAGACTACTTCATCATCATCATCTTCATCATCATCAGTTTCCAGCATGAACTCAAGTCTTAATTCAAGTTTACCCATTTCTCCTATAGGTATAAAAGGTAATCTCTCCTACTGCAGATTTGTGCCATGAATCAATTTTTAAATAGCTAAGCATTTTCTGGACTTTGGATCTGGAAATATTTTAATGGTGTTCAGTACATTCAAGCACTACGAAATGTTTTGTATGGAGAATAAACTTTTCTAGGCTAGCCTGGTAAATCCCTGTGGACTAAAGATAAATGTTAGACATGCATAATCTGTAGATTGACTAGACTGATACAAACCTGATGTCTACATGTGAGCATCTGACACAGCTAGAAAGGAAGCAATGCCCCAGGAATTATGTTCCCTTTATGCATTATCTCCTCTATTATAGCAAAGAACATGAGCTTCTGAATACTCTAAGCTTGTCTGACTGGAAATAAAAGAAAAAGCAAAACACCAAAACAACTGAAATTTGAAAGGAAGGTGGAAGACATTATTCCACCTTTCTGTAAGCCTAGATAAATGATGAGCTTTAACTCAAGCAGGTGGGGAAAACACCTTTAGGGAGATAACACAGCCAAGAGTTGTAGTTGTACTGTATTGAGACCCTCAATTTATCCATTTCAGTAAGCCTCAAAGGATCAGGAAAAACAGTCTCCTGAAAGTACTGACAGATGTAAGGACTACAGTTCTACATCTATCAAAATACCAAGTTTGAGCAAGTTTTTATTTTGCACATTGTTTCTGGGAGATTAATAACATACTATTAAAAGCTTATTAAGAACTATTTTATGCAATAGAACTGTCTAATCAAGATTCATCCTGTTAATGAAAGTAACCTACAGACTAAAAGTAAGAACTTTACAGAAATCTGGGAAAAATGCTTGTGTGGTAGTTAAGCCTATGGTGTTAATCAGTGTAACTCTACCTATTACTTGCTTGAAAGGCTGCTTAAGGGAACAGAGCCAGCTCTGCTGGGAGTAAATGCTGGAAGTAATTTGAATCTGCAAGCTGTTCTGGCATTCCTTGAAGAATATTCTTCCACTCGATTGCAGTAATTCAGGAATTTGGTGAGAAGACTATAAAATAAAATTGCCGAAGAATTTGAGGACTAAATTTTCAGCAGTCATATATATTCTCCTTAAACTCTAATTGTTTGAACCTAAATTTAAATGCTGTAAGTTGCTATTTTTCTTTCCTGGGTTAGTATAATTATTCTTCTTAGTCAAAAACTTCAGAAGTACAACCTTCTATTTCAGGAAAATCAAGCATGTCATCAAAAGCTAGTGTGAGTGGCTCTAAGCTTCCATCTAGTACAAGCAGGTTGGCCCTTGTCAGACCTACCACAGTGTCATCTCTGCAGGCTGCCAATACTGGGAAATCCAGGAAACAAGTGAGATCAGCTAGTACTCCCAAAATATCTAGTGCTATATGCCTGGCTAAATCTTCAGCTTCTGCAACATCATCTGAGACTGCAGGCAGTGGAACTTGGAGACCAAGCTCTGTTTCCAGTCTGCAGCAGCTATGTCAGCAGAATCGAGATGGGAGCTCAGCAAAAGGAAGCCTGTGTCCAAAGCCCAAGGCTAGAGTTTTGTCTGTTTCCACAAGTCAAACTAAGGCTCCTGTGAAGATTCAAGGTAAGCACATACTTTGTATGAGCTGTCTTCTACTTTGGTTATTAAAAGCAAATGTTACCCTTGAAGGCTTGTTATTTATTTCGTTACACTTCTGTCCACCTTTGGGAAGGAATTAGTATTTAACTGAAAGATAACTGCTATAAAAGAAATAAATATGAATCTGATAGCAATTAACAAAACTTTTCTCTTTAGATGCAACACCAAATAAATCGGCACCAAAAGCAACACCTTCTCTTGGATTAACATTTTGTGGCACACCTGGAAGGTAGGGCTTCACTGAAAATTGAATGCACTGAGCATCCTTAGCCTGCAACATGGTTGGGTGTTGCAACAGTCTTTTGAAAGTAACTTCTAATTGTCTAGTCCCTTGAGACCTGCCAAGTTAGATATGTTGATGCCTATTGGAACTGATTAAAATCAAAACCCGAAGAACCCCTCCCACTCTATTCAGAAGAGGTTTCTTTGCAGGGCTAAATAGACTAAAATAGTTCATACAAGAATTCTTATCAAGTAAAGTCCTTACTATGCTTACTATTATCAACTTTGAGGTGGCTACTGTTCCCTTACTGACCAGAGGGGGGAAATGGATTTCTATAATTTGGTAGAATAGTGTTATTCAAACAGTTTCTAGAAGGTTTTGTCTGAGGTGTGTTCCTCTTCTAGTGCCATGGCAGTCAGCACTCCTATGAAAGCCTCAGAAAATAAGGTCTTCCAGAGTTTTTGTTTTCCTGAGAAGTCTGCTGCCATGACTCCTGCCAGTGTGAAACGGTCTGGCCTACCTACACCTGTCCGTCGGATCTCGGGGCTCCCAGCAGTAACTCCTAAAACTCTACCAAGAATGGCATTTTCTCCACATGCTGCATCTCTTCGGCAAAGCTTCAGCTTTTCTACCAAAAAGACTTTTACAGCTGGGTAAGACAGAAATCTTCATATATGAAATGAGTACTGTAGGCGGACTGTCTCTGAGTGAATTCTAGTGATGACTCTTGGGTTTCAAGGGCCTCAGCTAAATGTTAGAATAAAGCCTTTGAGCATAGAAAAGCTGTATACACCTAATAAAAATGTATAACTTGTGACTGGTAAAATGCTATAAGCCGCATTGAGGTGAGTCAATACCTAACAGGAAAGAATTATAGCTTTAATAGGAAGTTATTTGTATTTCTTGAGCAAGGGAAAAATTTAAGACTTGTGTCTGATGCTCTGGTGGTATTTTGCTATTGCCTTCTGAGGAAGGGAAATAGCTGATTAAAATGCATATTATCTGGACTTTTGTTTTATATTGTTGCAAATTGTCTGCAAAATTACACTTTTTAAAGCATCAGCCAATAGGCCAAGGATTTTGTTGACTTGAACTTTATTTTCTGAGCAGCTTTACTTACGTTTCAATTCTGGTTTTTTTCTGTGAAAGTAATGTTGCCTTCTTCATGTCTGCCCAGCGTCTTCTGTCAAGGGCCATATATATGTATGCAGGCTTGTTTTGTGGCTGGTGGAGAGGAACTGTATTAAGTAGGAATGATTCATGGCTAGAAAACTGTTGTGTTACTTGGGCCAAAGGTCTCAAATAGTCTTTTCTCTCTGGGAAACAATTATTCTGTCTACAATGACTTTATCATACTAACCACATACTAATTACAGCCTCTGGTCCTCCAGCCAGTGTTGGTACTTCCTTTCAGCAGGGACTAAAGTGGGTTGCTCAGTGATACACAAAATCAATACATCTTTGCTAGCTGTTCCAAGTTAAAAAAAAAAAAACAACTAAAATGCCTTGTGTGAAGTTTAGGCTGGATGGAAATGTCAAGTAAGATTAAATTCTTCATAGTCCCTTCTTTTTTTTTGCATGGGTAGGCTATAGTTATGCAGAATGAAATATTTTGTATTTTGTGGGTAACTAGCATTTATTTGGATAAAAATATGGGAAGCCTTTTGGTCATTAAAGCTTGTGGTAAAAAAGGAGAAAATGAGGTCAGAAATTGGCTTGTCTGTCTTTAGTAGTTAATGCTGATTAAAGAACTCAATTATCGCTGATGCTCTTTACCCTAGTTCTAAACAGAAACAAGAGAATAAGACACGGATGTCTTCAGAAGATGATACCTCTCCACCTGTGCAACCTCTTGTACTTAGCTTCTCGCCAGAGAAAACTGCTACAGAAGGAGTAGAAAATGCATTAAAAGAGGTGGAAGTACCAAACGAGCTGTCTGAAGTACAAAATCAGCTGGCTGAAGAGAAACAACCTGAGGTAAGAAATGACAATATATTTTCCTACAAAACTACTGGGTAAACTGCTTGAATTATTTCAAGGTAAGGGATAAGTAGGGAAACCACTTTGGTATATGTGAAGTTAGAATGTGTTAGAATAATGAAATAATAGAATATTCTGTGTTGGAAGGGACCCATCTGAATCATCAAGTCCAGCTCCCAGTCCTGCACAGGGCACTCCAGGAATCACACTAAACACTTCTTGAACTCTGTCAGGCTGGTACTGTGGCCGGTTCACACAGGGGAGCCTGTTCCAGTGCCAACCACCCTCTGAGTGAAAAACCTTTTCCTGCTATCCAACTAAACCTCCCCCAACTCAACTTCATCATGTTTCCTGTCACTCTTCATGAGAATGAAGAGATTGGTACCTGCCCCTCTGCTTCCCCTTGTGAGGATGTTCAAGACCACAATAAGGTCTCCCCATGATCTCCTCCAGGTTGAACAGACCAAGTGTCCTCAGCTGCACCTCATAAGGCTTCCCCTCCAAACCCATCACCAGAGTGTGAAGCTGTAGTTTATATGGCTAAATAACATTGCACAATAATTGTAGTTAAATTTAATTTTAATTTAAGTATTAAGAGGGTTACTATCTTCAGATTTAAATTTAACTCTACTTTCAAGTGAAAAATTGTTTTATGCCCCAAGGGACCTCTTATGCTTTCTTACCACATTTTCCCTCTACCCACTGGCAGAGTAGGAGCTGAGGTTTTTATACGGTGTGCAATGAATCCTGCATGAAAAATACCAAGTTGTAAATTAACACTGATCTGTGATTATTACAGCTGTATAAGCTAAATTGATTGCATCAATGTATATGAATGAAACTTGGTAAAC